ACGTGTGCTCTTCCGATCTCTAGCTTGCATCTATACGAACCATTCTCAACGAATCTGTAAAAAAATTTATCTCGAAAGTATCACTTTATATTCTCAGCCAGGAACATGATATTTTTTCGCATTAAATTTCTTTACAGATTCGTTGAGAATGGTTCGTATAGGTGCAGGCTAGCATTTATTTGACGTCGCGGAGGAGGAAACATCTATTAAATGCAAGTGACCATCAAGTACTTATTCAATTGATTAGCAAATTTAATTCGTGATAATACGGTCCTGTTTCAATCTAGGATTGCGTTGAATCCGAAAGTAACGGCACGCAGTTTCGTCGAAGCTAGGATATGTATGTAAAACACATAAGAAAATAATAAAAGCACCAAGATCCCGCTGTGATTGTGCATTGGCCTTCTCTATTCATTATGTGTGATACACTTATATGGTCGTAATAAAAATGGAGTTATTTGAAAAAGTCATCAATAATTCGTATAGCCATTAGCTGCAGCCTACCCGATATGCGCGGCGAGGTAAAAAATGCTAATGTTTAACTCGTTGACTCATATAGATGAATGTTTTGCGAAATTATATGTTACATGTACAGCCAACATACTTATTTCTTAAATGACGTATGTTGTCATAAATATATATAAATGTACGTGCACGTGCCGTGCGAGTAACGTAACAAAAAAAAATTTTCGAAGACTGCGCAGTATTAGGTTACAAAGCTGCAGACTTTTACGTCTACAGGATGCCATTTTAATAGAAACATTTAGATATTGTACATGACACATGATTGCGGAAAATGTTTCAGCAAATTTCGCAATTTGCAATATAAAACTTTTTCAAAAATCAAATATGTGTTATCTTTATTTAAATAAACAATTTCATTATATTCTATGCATAAAAATACATTCATCAAAAAATTAATAAATTACGAGATTTCATATTTTATATCAAAATATGGCACAATAAAAAATAAAATATTCTGTCAACTATTAATTTTTTTGATAACTTTGTCTTGACTTTAATTGGTATTCGCAAGTTTAGTAGACTCGGATATTTTTTTCAATACCGTGCTAAATCTATCGACAAAATTGTGCTGAATTGTTTATAACACTCATTTTTTACAATTTACATAATATATTTTATAACGTTTATAACAATATTTCTCAAATTTTAATACACAAAATGAAAAAAAATTCCTTTTGAGCAAGAATATATTAATTAAAAGAATACACTGATTCCGTGACAATTTCATTTAAAAAATTTCGAAACAAGTATTAATTGAAACTAATACATATAAGGAGAATTATATTTTTTATGTGAAGAATATTATACAATTCTACGTATATTAAACATTTAACCTTAATGTTTGATTTTCAAAAAGCGATACTTTCCAAAAATTGATTTTGCCATTCTCCTTCAGAATATACATTTTTAAAATTGAAATGAAGATAAATATTAATGATGATCAAATGGATGGACATAAATCGTCCCAATGAAATGGACCGATGGATTATTAGTTTCCTTGGGAAGATTTAATTTAAATTAATATTATATACAACTAAACGTGAGAAATTTTTCCAACGGAAATATTTTGAAAACAGATAAAACTGTATTTTGCCATATACATCTTGTCCGCGACAGTAAAATCCAATTTCGAAACGTACCCATGAAGACTCCAATTTAAAAAAAAAAAAAAAAACTAACAAGTAAACATTGCCTAGACATGTTAGAGCCTAGACATGTTGGAGTCGCGACAAAGCTATAAAGTTTAATGTTTATGTTAAATTGAAATGTTTTTGTTAAAATTTAAATTCAGCTCTTTTTATTTTAATTAAGAAACTTCACTTACGTTTATCTCTTTACCGCATAAGAATCACATAAGGTCTTGAGTCATAGAAAATAAGTTCTTTGATCAAAACATGATCAAAGATCGCGATAGTTTGTGATATCGAATAATAGCATCCTTTTCAGGACGTTGATTTGTGCGCCAAATCTTTTTAAAACGCCTTCGAATTGCATGTACATTCGTGGACAGAATTGTTGCAACACTTTTTTTTAATTTAGTTTCAAAACGCATTAATATTTTGCAAATGCGAACCACGATTGGTGTACTGTCTCTAGACTAAAGATAATACACCAATCGTGATTCGCATTTGCAAAATATTAGTGCATTCCGAAACAAATACAAAAAAAGTGTCACAACAATTCTGTCCACGAGTGTACGTCTCCGTGCGTACCTGCGAGACAGACTATCTCGTTATGCCTTCCCTTCGTTATCCCCTCCTCGCCGAATCAAATTTCGTTTCTGGAGACGTAACTCCTTTTAATCCTTTTAAAAATTTCGGGGCTTGGACGTAACACACTATAGCCAATATAATTATTTTCTAAACCACGTATGTTGTCATAAACATAAATAAATGTATGCACGTGCCGTGTGGATAACGTACAACAAAAAAAATTTTCGAAGACTGCGCATTATTAGCTTAATTACAAAGTCGCAGACATCTATAGGGTGTGCCATTTGGATATGTTGTATATGACACATCATTGCGGAAAATCTTTCAACAAATTACGCAATTTGCAATATGAAATTTTTTTAAAGATCAGCTATGTGTTTTCTATATTCAAATGAATAATTTCATTATATTTTATGCATTTCTGAAAGACAATTATCAAAGAATAAATAATTAACAAGATTTTATATTTTATTTCAAGATGTACCACAATAAAAAGTGAAATATCTTGTAAACTATTAATTTTTTAATAACTTTGTTTTGATTCTAATTGGTATTCGTAAGTTCAGTAAACCTGGATATTTTTTTTAATAGTCGCGTCAAATCTGTCGACAGCATGGTGCAATATTGTTCATAACACTCATTTTTCACAAATTTATATAAAATTTTAGGTTATATAATATTATTCCTCAAATTTTGCTACACAAACTGAAAAAAAATTTTCTTTAAGCAAAAATATATTAATAAAAATATATTAAAGAATACATTGGATCCCTGAATTCCATTAAGAAAATTTCGAAGCAAATATTAGTTGAAATTAATACCTTTATAGGCAGAATTATATTATGTAAAAATATGATATATTTCAATATTAAAAAATGGCAATGACCTTAATGTTTGACTTTGAAAAAGCGATACTTTTCGAAAATTGATTTTGCCATTATTAATTTTCCCTCAGAATATACATTTTTCAGTTTGAAAATTTTTCCATAATAATAATTCATGTACTAAATTTTCCGTTGTTTCCATTAAAATTAAACACCCTATGTTTAAATGGAAAATTCTTACATAACACTTTATCATGAATAGTATTGTTATCGGTATAGAGTGCAAGACACTAATTGTGTGCCAGCTGCCTATCGAGCAAGGAAAAACACTAGCCAATAAAAATACGTATAAAGACAAACCAGAATTATTGAAACTTTAGTTCTGTAGCGCATGCAGTACACAACAATACATAACAATAAGGTAAAAAATAGATTTCAAATAAAACAAGTAAACATGTTGTACATTCCATAGAAAACTTTCTATTGTCACATTTTATTCCAGCATTAAAAACCAATTATCTCAACATATAAAATCAATTACTACATACATCAAACATGTTGCACAAGATATCGAGTCTCCTTTGTATTCTTAGTATCAATACAATGATCATCTCGTTACATGGGCACTCAAACTATGACAGTTTTAATAACAATGATAGTAACGAGTCCAAATTACTGAAATTACGAAAACAAGCTATTGATATGGAGAACATCTCGAACAACCAACATTATTCAAATAAAAAAATACAGGACACCACGCCTAAATTCGGTGAAGTATTTGATTTTATAATAATTGGCGCTGGTACAGCCGGCGCTACAGTAGCAGCTAGGCTGAGTGAAATTTCTCAGAATAAAATATTGCTGATCGAAGCTGGATCTTACGAGAAATATTTCATGGACATTCCTATATTCGCTCCCATCTTAAGTTTAGACAATAACATCAATTGGAACTACAAAACTAAACCGTCCAACAAATACTGTCGTGGCATGAATGGTAATATATGCCGTTGGCCAAGGGGAAAAGTAGTCGGTGGTAGCAGTGTGCTAAACTTCATGTTAGCTACTAGAGGAGGAGCCGAAGATTACGATCGTTGGGCAGACATGGGCAATAAAGGCTGGGCTTACAAGGACGTTCTTAAATATTTTAAAAAGTTGGAAACAATTGATATCCCGGAATTGAAATCGGATATTGATCATCATGGTACCGACGGACCAGTACATATTACTTATCCACCATTTCGTACCCCGTTGGCAATAGCTTATCTAGAAGCAGGAAGAGAACTACGATATCCGGTAGTAGATTATAATGGGAAAAACATTATAGGATTCTCACATGTGCAAGCTACAATTATGAACGGCACTCGCATGAGCAGCAATAGGGCATATTTGCATCCCATACGTGATCGCAAAAATCTTCATATCACTCTTCAGAGCATGGTGACAAAAATCCTGATAAATAGCACGAAGCACGCAGTGGGCGTGGAATTTATCAAAAATAATCGGACTGTACACGTGTTTGCAAGCAAAGAAGTAATTCTGTGCGCGGGTGCTATCGGATCGCCGCAATTGTTGATGCTATC